GAAATCTTGTTTATCCTTTGGATTTCTAATTGTTGTTTTTGTATAATTTCTAGTTGTGAATTTATTTTGGCATTTTGTTCCTGCATTATTTTCCTGAATTTTTCCAATTTTTTGTCTGTATTTTCCTTGAATTAGTCTATTTTTTCCTCATTTTCGTCTGCTTTTTGCTTCAACTCTTGGAGAATTCTGAGTATTAGAGATTTGAATTTCCTGTCAGGTAGTTCTAGTGTCTTTTCTTCCACTGGAATGTCATCTGGTGTTTTATTTTGGACACCTACTGGAGCCGTCCTGTCCTGTTTTTGTAAATGTTTTGATATTGTCTGCTATCTTCAGGGCATTCAGTAGTTATTTTTATTGTTTATTGATTGTAGATTTGTTTGATTTGTCCTTTTTTTAAATTTGACTATGTCTGAGCAGGAAGGCTGTGTGTTGTTTGTTGTTTGCTCGTCTGTGGGCATGATACTTTTCACCTCCTTCTGCATTTGGCGGGGTCAGTCTCTCAGATATGGTACAGCAGGGCAGATCTAGCTGAAGAGGAGTTACTGGGATGGGTTGTTTGTGGCACTTACTACAGCCACCAGGGCAGGTCAGTAATCAGTGCAGGGCAGGTTCTAGTTCATCATGCCTGTGCTGCTTGGTGGTGTGATTTTAAGCACATGGTGCATGTAGGCAGGATGTATAGGGGAGATTGTTATGTGTGGAGCTAAGATGGATACGGCAGAGAGGAGAGAGGAACAGGGCCAAAAACATACAAACAACAAAAAAGAGTGCTAGAGAGCTTGCCGTTGGAGTGGAGAGATGAGAGACTATGAAATGGAGAAAAACAAAAAGGGGAAGAAGAAGAAGAAAAAAAAGAAAAGAATAAATAAAAATCAGAAAGGAAAAAGAACAGCATAGCTCCCAGGGATCCCACCGGTGCAGCTATGAGGTCTGGGGAAGTTGTTCTCAGGTGTTGCATAACAGCCTGGCTAGAAGGCATAGAGGTATTCAGTGTCAGGTATTTTGGGAACAGAAAGAGAAGGAAGGTATAGAGAGATGAGAAACTGAGTAATGAAGAAAGACAAAAAGGGAAAAAGAGGGAAAAGAAAACGAAACAAATTTGAAAAAAAAAAAGCAAGCGCAAGAATAACCCCCCATAAAACAGGAAAAAAAAAAATCCACAAAAAAAGAAATGCCCTCAGGGATCCCTCTGCATGTCTGCGCAACCCGAGGGGGTAGGTTTCAAGCTGCGCAGCCCAGCCAGGCCAGAACGGCCTTCCAACTCAAGAAAAGGAAAAGAAAACAAACAAACAATTGAAAACAAACAGACAAACAAAAGCCCCGGGATCCCACCAGCGTGGCAGCCCAGACCAGGAAGCAGTTCCACACTTGAATGGATCTCTGCAGCCCCTCAGGAAGAAGGAAAGATGGCTCACAGAGCCAGGTATTTGAGTGAAAGGAGGGGGAGGTGGTGAGAGGTAAAGAAGAAATCAAAAGAAGCAGAAAAAAAGCAACGGCAAATGGCACTCAGAGAGCCAGCCAGTGTGGGCAGGTGGAAGCCAAATGGCCAGTGCTTCCCGGACAAGAGACTGTGGCTGCGGGAAGCAGAGGAGGCAGAGTGGGGGTGAAGAAGGGTGGTGGGGTGGGGAAGCATATATCACAAATTACCAGAGCTCCAAAGCCCCTCAGGAAGAAGCAAAGATGGCACAGGGAGCCAGGTATTTGAGCAAAAGAAAGGAGAGGTAGTGAGAGGTAAGGGAGAAATCAAAAGAAGTGGAAAAAAAGCAACACCAGCAACCCACAAATGGCACTCAGAGAGCCAGCCGGTGCGGGTGGGTGGAATCCAAGCAGCTGGTGCTTCCCAGACAAGAGACTGTGGCTGCGGGAAGCAGAGGAGGCTGAGTGGAGGTGAAGAAGGGTGGCGGGTGGGAAAGCGTATATCGCAAATTACCAGTTGTTCTGTCTCCCGCTGGAAGCTCCGTGAAGCTACTTTCTCATACCCCCTATTTGCTGGTCTCTGATAGGAGTCCAAGATGGCCGATCCATGCTTTGTTAGCTGATAGGGGACCTCTGTATGAATCTCTCCTCACTCTCCGTTCTCTGTCAGTTTTATCACTCCATTGGTGCTAGGCTGAGTTCTTTATCTCTTCATTTTATGTTTTAGGGTTTCAGGATTGCTGTTTTCTCTGTTTGGCTTAGTTTTTCAGATCTTTGCTGTGGAGGGACAGCTTGGTGCTTCTGCCTAGAGAGCCATTTTGTCTGAAGTCCTCTACAGAAAAATTTTTACCCCAAGGGGCCTCAGTTTTCACATGTGAGCTGGGATTTACAATGGCAATCTCATGGGTGTTATGTAGAATACATGAGATTATGTACAGAAAGAACAAAAGTTTTAGAGTCCAGCATGGGGTAAATGTTCAGTGAATGGAATTCTCATATTGTCCTTGTTAGTCTACTATGTCTAATAGACATTTGTGTCTTTTGCATTCAGCAGATATTTCATGCCTTATGGTGATATTGTTAATGGAAGCACCAGAGCAATCTCTTGATGAATTTACTTTTAAAGCTTCTCCATTCACCTCTACTAAAGGTACTAATGTCATCTTATTGGCAGGACTTTCTTGATTTATCAACTTTTCCAATATGAGTTAAATCAAACACTCTGATACAATGGTCCAATTTGAATGCCCAAAACATAATTTTTTGTTGGATAATATTCACAAATAGATACTGATTTTTGTAATTCCTTACAGTTTTTCCTTCCTGCTCTCATTCCTGTTCATGATTCATGGCAACATGTTGTATGTGTTTTAGGAGAGACCTGAGAGAAGATCACAAAGTTAATAATGGTTGGTTTCTGATTTGTGTCCAAGAGCATAAAGAACCAAAGGGATAGGATTTGTCTTTGAGATAACTCATGATAAGTGAACACGTCTTTCCTGCTAGCATCTGTCATAGACAGAGGGGCCAAGGATGCTTTGGTAGACTTCATGTGGTAGAGGCTGGATGACGAAGAAATGGCTATACTTTCTTTTTTGCTCTATGAGGTGGAGGACTTATGTTACCCTCCCGGCGATTCCTATGTTCAATACGGTTTCAGTCACATCGAATGTTTCCTTGAACTTAGAAATGCTTGTGTCATGTGTAGGGGGGTAGGACTTAGAAATGGTCACAGAGTCCCTTCCAAGCCAGTATGCATGAGAGAAACAGGGTGATATCAAAATGTCCATTCATATTGAAGTAGCAGTACCACCTTGTTGCTGAAGTAGTAATGTTAAGACAAGGGTCCACCATGGAATATCCTGCCAAAATTACAAACAAGCATAGATTTGTAATACCATCTTCCCAAAAATACATATAGAAATGACTAGGGTAAAAAGGATTCTTGCAGCAATAAAGCAACTACAACACTAAGAACAACAACAAAAAGAGCCATAAAGAAATATTGAGAACCCTTGATTCTGAAAGACAGTCTTCAACTTGCATGTGTAGGATGGTAGTGGTAGAGGCTGTATCATGAGTCATCTATGCTGTTTTAGGCTAGAGTTTGGGTGACAAGCTATAGTAGATAATAAAGGTTAGAATTCTCTTCTTGCTTTTCCCTGCCGACTCAACTCACATATTTAGGCATGTGAGCTCTGTCTGCCAGTCATCTTGAAGGGCAAATTACGGCAGAGCAAAGGGAAACTGCGATAATATTTGATGAATAGATAGTTGAACTACCTTTTCCACCTCAACTTTCTGCTCCATTGGAAAAGAGTTCCTTTAATCTGAGCTTACTGTCTGATAGGGTGGAGAAACATGCCATTATTACTGTTATGATAAATATTATAAAGCCAAAGTAAAGGGTGTTATGAAAGGAAAGATGAGAGGACTTGATGTATTCTGGGAGTGGGATCTAAGGGGAAATTGTCCAAGCTACAAAACCAGACTTGCAGCTGAAGGCCCTTGGGACAGAGAAGAAACAGGAGAAAGAGATCTTAAACTTAGGGAGTAGCACAAGTGAAAACACTTAGTCTTGGAAGGAGCATGGAATGGTGAACATAAATCCTGAAATAAGGTCAGCGAGCAAAGGGGAAAAGGTGGAAATGAAGTTGGAATGTAGGGGACGAACGACTTCTCATTTCCATGTCAACCTGTCTAGCTACTTATCAGCACTCTCTACCCCAGAACTAAACATAACAAATAACACTCTTGAAAACTGCAAGTATGTCACGATCACATGCCAATACGAAAGGAATCAGAATCCAGTAGAATCTTAAAGTAGACCCTTGATCTACCCTTGATCATTGTTTGGGGTTAAATTATAGAAAGTCATTGTACAGAGTTGGGGAATAGATGGAAAACAATTTAGAGTATCTTATCATGCCTGGAATCACAGTGTGGGGAGGCATAAGCAATGGGAATAGGAAGATGGTACCTTGGAGGTGAAACTGCTGGATGAGGATCCTGGAGACATCACAGGTATCTGAGTTCGGCTTTCAGTTGGAGATGTGCTGCTGGTCCCTAACGTATGTGCATGCTGACTTTGCTCTTGGGGAAGCTTCATCTTTCTTGGTTCAGAAATTTGGGTGACTATGTGCTGGCTTTTAATGTGAGGAGAAGCAGGGCAGACTGCTTTTCTCTCTTTCTTTTCTTTAAGCATGCTCTCCTCTCTTTCACTTTTCTGTGGAATAACAGCACAAGTTCAGACACTGCAACCACCTCTTCAACATCCACCTCAGTCCTCATTACAACTTTTTCCAAGTAAACTTCATTCTCTAGTCATTGCAATTCTACTGGCCTTGAATAGAAACCTGGCCATACACCTGCTGCCACGTTGCCTAAGCCCACCTGATCAAGCACGAATCATGGGCAGCTTTTTATGGTTTTTGTTTGCTTTGTTTTATTTTGTTTTGCATGTTTTTGGTAAATATCCTTGCTAGAGTCTAGGAAGGCAAACTTCAGGACAAAGTCAAGCAAACTCGTGGACATTCACTTAGTAAGCAATTACCATTACCTGGATTTATGCACATTGTTTAAGCAAGGGAAGGGAGTGTCTCCAAAATAATATAAACGGACTGCCTTCACTTTCAACAACAGAAGCCCATTTCTAACATTTATCCTGCTAGGGGAATTTGCCACAATGTTTACCATTTCAGACATCCTGAAATCCAACCCTAAAATGTCACTTCTCAGTAGAGTGTTGGAAGTGGGAAGTGGGAGCTGCTTGGGTACATGCATCTACACTGTCAGTTCCTTACCAGAGCAACAGCTGAATATCTACTGCAATTTTAGTCCTCATCAAAACGCTTCCAGTGCCTGGGCTATGGAAACAAATCTAGCACAAAATATTGTTCTGAAATTGTACTACTTGCCATCCTACTCCAGTACAACAAAGGGACATGTACTGCTCAAATTCTAAAGTTCCAAAAAGCTGCATCTCACTTTCAGTGTCTCTAGGACATCATAGAAGAATTTTTACCATGATGGACCTCAGTTTTCACATGTGAGCTGGGATTGAAAATAGCATTCTCATGGGTGTTATGTAGAAGAAAAAGATTATCTACAGAAAGAACAAGGAATTTGGAGTCTAGGCCACAGTAAATGCTCAGTAAATGGAATTCTCGTATTGTCCTTGTCATTCCACTATGTCTAATAGGGGTTTGTGTGTCTTTTTCATTCAGCAGATGTTCCATGCTTTATGCAGATAGTGCTAATTGAAACCCCAGAGCAAAGTCTTAGTGGATTTACTTTAGAGAAGAAGCTTCTACATTCTCATCTGCCAAAGGTAGTAATGTCATCTTACTGACAGGACATTCTTGACCTAGCAACTTTTCAAATATGAATTTCTAAAAAAAAAAAAAAAGAACAAACACTTCCCTCACAAGATTAAAATTTGAGTGCCCAAAACATAATCTTCTCTTTGATAATACACTCAAAGAGTGACTGATTTTTATAATTCCTTACAGTGTTTCCCTTCTGCTACCATTCCTGTTCATGATTCATGCCACTTTGCCATCTGTGTTTTAGGAGAGACCTGAGAGAACATCACAAAGTTAATAATGGTTAGCTTCTGGTTTTGTGTTCAAGAACACAAAGAACACAAGGGATAGAAAAGGTCTTTGAGAGAACTCATGATGAGTGAGCAAGTTTTTCCTGGTTTCATGGTGTGTCATAGAGAGACGGGTCAGGAATGATTTGGCAGATCTCTTGTGGTAGAAGCTGGATGCTGAAGAATAAATGGCAACACTTTCTGTTCTGATCTGTGAAACCAAGGAGTTATGTGACCCTCCCGGCGATTGTCATGTTCAAGATGGTCTAGGTCACATCAAATGTTTTTTTGTACATAGAAATGCCTGTGTCATATAAGTAGGGAGGTGGGACCTAGAAAGCATCAAGAGTCGCTTCCAAGCCATTATCCCTGAAAGAAGCAGGGTGATACCAAAAAGTCCATTTATATTAAAATAGCAGTACCACCTTGTGGCTGAAGTAGTAATGCTAAGACAAGGATCCACCATGGAATCCAGTCCCAAAATGACAAACAGGAACAGTCATCTAACCCCATCTTCCCACAAACAAATAAAGAAAGTACAAAGGGTGGTACAGATACTCGCCATAAAAAGCAACTACAATGCTAAGAACAACAACAAAAAGAGTCAAATAGAAATATTGACAATTCTTGTATTGAGAAAGCATTCTTCACCTTGTAGGTGTGGGAAGGTGGTGGTAGACTCTGTAGTACGGATCATCTATGCTTCTTTAGGCTAGAGTTTGTGTGACCGACTACAGTAGAATATTAAGGCTTGAATCCCCCTTGTGCATTCTTGTAAATTCAAGTGACAAAGACAGGGATGTGAGTTCTGTCTGCCAGTGTGGGTAGGCACAAGTGCTAGGAAGAAGAAGATGGTACCTTGGATGTGAAACTGCTGGATGAGGATACTGGAGGCATCACAGGTATCTGAGTTTGGCTTTCAGTTGGAGATGTGTCGTTGGTCCCGAAGATATGTGCATGCTGACTTTGCTTTTGGGGAAGCTTCACCCGTTTGTGGTCAGATGTTTGGGTGAATATGTGATGGCTTTTAATATGAGGCGAAGCAGGGCAGACCAATTATCTCTCTTCGTTTTCTTAAAGCTTGCAGTCCTCGCTGTCACTTTTCTAAGGAATAATAGAACAAATTCAGACACTCCTCCAATCAACTCCCTGGCATCCAGTATTACAGCTTCCTTTGAGAAAAAGTCATTCTCTGATCATTGCTATTCCCCTGGCCTTGAAAAGAAACCTGGCCTGTTGTCTGCTGCAACTCAGCCTAACCGCACCTGGTCAAGCACAATTCCAGAGGAATTAGTTTGTGTGTTCCGTTTTATTGTTTGCTTTTGGTAAAAACTTTGCCAGGTCACAAAACAGGCAAATCTCAGGACAATGTTAGCCATGCTTGTGAACATTTGCTGAGTGAGCCTTTCTCACCAAGGAAGTACCAGAATGGGATCTTATTAACTGCTCTTCAGGATCTATCCAGAAACTCACGTCTCCTTCCTTGTGTGTGTTGCAGTTACCATCTTGTGGGAAATCATTCTTAAAGCCCAATTCCAGAGGCAGGATAAAGCTAGTCTTGCAGCAGGAAAGCTATCAGATTCTTGATCATATTTAGAACTATTTACTTTCTACCAGGGCCATTACTATTACCTGAATATATATGTTTCATTTAAGGAATTGAGGGGAATGTCTCTAAAATAATATAACTTAACTACCTTCAATATCACGATAGAAACCCATTTCTAACTTTCATCCTACTAGTGTAATTTTCCACAATGTTTACTGCTTCTGACGGGGATCCAACCATAAAGTTACACTTGAAGATAGAGTGGTGGATATGAGAGCTGCTTGCAGTGCCAGCTTCTGTTGTGTGAGTTTCTTACTAGAGCACCCCCTGACCATCTCCTGCAGTTAATTCCTCATTAAAAGCCTTCCCGTGCCTGGGCTATGGAAAAAAATTCAGCATACAATGCTGTGTTTTCTGAAATTTGCCACAGTAAATCACAGAGACACTACCTGCCATTGATCTTTGGAAATCACTAAGGGATGTTTACTGCTCTAGTTCTAGATTTCCAATAAGCTGCATCTCACTTTCAGGGTCTCTATGATCTTGTAGAAAAAAAAAATTTTTTTACCATGATGGACCTCAGTTTTCATACAAAGCTGGGATTAACAATAGCATTCTCAAGTGTGAGATATAGAATAAATGAGATTATGTAGGGAAAGAACGAAGGTTTATAGTCTAGCATAGGGTAATTGTTCAGTAAATGGAATTTTCATATTCTTCTTGTCATTTCACTATGTCGAATAGGGGTTTGTGTGACTTCTACATTCAGCAGATGTTTCATGCTTAATACAGACATTGCTAATGGAAACCCCAGAGAGACATGTTAATGGAGGTACTTTAGAGAAGCACCTCCTCCATTCATGTCTGCCAAATGTAATAATGCTGTCTTATTGCCAGAACTTTCTTGATATAGCACCTTTTACAAATTAATTAAATCAAACTGTTCTATCACAACAGTACAATTTGAGTGCCCAAAACATAATCTATTGTCGAATAATATTCTCAAATTTGACTGATTTTTATGATACCTCACAACATTTCCTCACCATGGAATCCGGTGCCAAAATAACAAACAAGCACAGGCTTCTAATTCCATCTTCCACAAACACATATAGAAACGACACAGGACAATATGAATACTTGCAAGAAAAAGCAGCTACAACCGTAAGAACAACAACGAGAGCCACAACGAAATACTGAGAACCGTTGTATTCAGAAAGGTATTTTTCAACTTGCATGTGTGGGATGGAGGTTGTAGAGGCTGTAGCATCCCTCAGATATGCTGCTTTAGGCTGGAGTTTGAGTGACAGACTATACTAGATAATGCATGGTTGAATCCTCCTCTTGTCTTTCCCAGCCCATTCAATTCACAAATTTAGGCACCTGAATTCTGTCTGCCAGTCACCGTGAGAGGCAAATCACGGCAGAGCAAAAGGGAGACTGGGATGAGATTTGATGAACGGAGATGTGAACAACCTTTTCTATCTTGACTTTTTGCTCCACTGCAAAAGAGTTCCTTTAATCTGAGCCTACTGTCTGATAGGAACCCTTTTGGCACAGTGGTTAAGAACTTGGCAGCTAACCAAAAAACTGGCAGTTTGAATCCACCAGCTGCTCCTTGGAAATCTATGGGGCAGTTCTACTCTGTCCTATAGGGTCGCTATGAGTCGGAAGGGGCTCAACACCAATGAGGTTTTTTTTTTTTTTTTTTTTTAACTGTCTGATGAGTTAGAAAAATGTGCAAATAATATGATTGTGATAAATGCTATAAAGCCAAAGTAAAGTGTGTTGTGAGAGCAAAGAAGGGAGGATACGTGTTCTGGGAGTGGGCTATCAGGGAAACTTTCTGAGCCACTAAACCAGGCTGGCAGCTAAAGACACTTGGGCCAGAGAAGAGACAGGAGAAAGGGATCCCAAATTAAGGGTTGCGAAAAGACCTAATCTTGGAAGAAGCATGGAATGGTGAACATAAATTCTGAAATAAGGTCTGCGAACAAAGGGGAAAATGTGGAAACAAAGCTGGGATATTGGTGATGAACTCCCTCTCATATCCATCTCTACTTCTCTAGCTACTTGTCAGCACTCTCTCTCTACCCCAGGACTAACCAAAGACAATAACTCTCTTGAAGACTGGAAGTATGTCATGAACGCATACCAGTAAGAATGGAATCAGAATCCAGTAAGAGCTCAAAGGAGACCTTTGATCAATGGTTGGGGATTAAATTAAATAACATAATTTTATAGAGTTATGGGTTAGATATAGATGGTTTACAAATTCTGATCATGCATTTAATCATAGTGTGGGGAGGCACAAGTAATGAGAATAGGGAGATGGTACCTTGGATGAGAAACTGCTGGATGAGGATCCTGGAGGCATCACAGGTATCTGAGTTCAGCTTTCAGTTGGAGATGTGCTGCTGGTCCCGAAGATATGTGCATGCTGACTTTGCTCTTCGGGGAGCTTCATCCGCTTGTGGTCAGAAGTTTGGGCGAATGTATGATGGCTTTTAATACAAGGCGAAGGAGGGCAGACCGCCTTTCTCTCTTCTTTTTCTTTAAGCATGCTGTCCTCTCTGTCACTTTTCTATGGAATACTAGCACAAGTTCAGACACTGCAAACACCTCTTCAGCATCCACCTCAGACCTCATTACTACCTTTTCCAAGTAAACTTCATTCTATGGTCATTGCAATTCTACTGGCCTTGAATAGAAACCTGGCCATACACCTGCTGCCACTTTGGTTAAGCCCACCTTATCAAGCACAAATCATGGGTAGTAGTTCATGGGTTTTGTTTTGTTTTTGGTAAATGTCCTTGCTAGGGTCTAGGAAGGCAAATTTCAGGACAAAGTCAGCCACACTTGTGGATGTTTGCTGAGTAAACCTTTCTCATCAACCAAGTACTGCATGTGTCTCCTTCCTTGTGTCTGTTCTGATCACCACCATGCTGGAAATTACTTTGTCAAAGCCACAATTCCAGAGGCAGGTTATGGTTATCCTTGTAGTCACATCAGACAGCCAGAATCCTCCTTGATTCTTAAGCTTATTTAGAAGTACTCTAGATTCTGCCCTGATCATTACTGTTACCTGGACTTTTGTTCCTTGTTTAAGCATGTGTAAATATTTTCTTTAAAATAATATTACTTGACTAGCTTTAATTCCATCCATGAAAGCCTATATCTAACATTCATCTAAGGAAGAAAAGATTCTTAACTTTTTTTAATCCTGGAATTTAGTAATTTATTTTTTACAGTACCCTTAGTTGACAGATACGTAGATGAGAGTGTAGCTTAAAATTACTTTTTATTACATGTGACTTTGTGTATAGAAAACACCTTGGCCACGCCTGGTAACCCCCTTTCTCCTTAAAAGGCTTACAGAACTTTGGCTGTGGAAAAAAACAAACAAAAAACACAATTTATTATGAAATTAAAAAAAAAATAAATTATACCCATTTTAACATTTGTACTCAGAGTCTGAGAATATATTCCCATTAAATGCCCAAGTTTTAGATTTGAATTAGGTTGGATTTACATCCTGACTCAAATGTTCACTGTCTTTGTCACCTTGGGATGATTTTTAACCTCTTTGAACCTCAATTTCTAATAAGTGAAATGTGACTTACAGTATCATCCTCATGGAGGTATTATGTAAAATAAATGAGACAATAGAAAAAGACATGTTTTAAAATCTAGTACCCATTTTATGTTCCATAAAGAGAAATATCGTTAATGTCATTTTTATTTCACTGTCTATGCTTAGGTGTGCAAGTCAGCTCTGGTCTCCAGATGTTTCCTGCTGTATTCTGATCATGTTGATGCAAACCTCACATCAAGGTGTTACACGAAGCACTTTATAAACATCTCTCTTGGTTCACTTTGCCACATGTAGTAACGTAATCTTATTGACAGGAGTCTCTTGCGCTATTATCATTTCAAAGTCAATTAAATCAAACACTTCCATTTCAACAGTAAACTTTGGTGCCTAATATATACTCTTTAATGGGATGAGATTTTAAAATAGCAACTAATGGTTTTTATATAGGGTAATTCCTCACCCACTCATATTCCTATTGATGATTCTTATTGTTCTATGTTCTTTGCTTTAAGGGAGACATGACAGATAATATCGAAGATAATAATAGTCTGTTTCTGATTTTGAACCCGAAAGGATAAAGAGCTCATACCATAGACAATAATTTTTGGCAAATTTATGATTAATACTAACAAGTTTTCCTGATCATTTAATGGGTCATAAGCAGCACGGTCAGGCACTCTTTTTTTCAGGCCTACTAGTGAGGTGATGGAAGAAAGGTCTGGTGATCTTCGTCTGAAAAATTAGTCATTGAAGAACCTAGGGAGCACAGTTCTACTCTGACAAACATGGGGTTATCAACTGCTCTTCAGGCTCCATCCAGAAACATCAGGATTGACTCAAAGGTAACTGTTAAGCTGTTGAAGTGACGTAGTTGGACTCCAAAGAATAAACTGTTGCATGGTGTATTTTGGTGTATGAAGCCATGGACATGTATGGCCGTTACTGGGATTCCTGAGTTCCTGGTAACCCATCTACCAGGTGTTCAGACACGCAGAATTATTCCTATGGATGGAGAAATTGTTATATCACAAATTTCAGTAGCTGGGATCTTAAAAAGCATCACTTTGTCCCTTCCAAGACAGCATGTATGGGAAATGCTGAATTGCCCTGAAGATGTTCACTTTATGTCATTGAAGTAGCAAGGAGACTATGGTCCTGAGGTGTTAATGACCAGAAAAGGGCTCCAACCATGGCCATCTGTGCCAGGATGGCAAATACATACAGGCTGCTAGCTCCATCCCACCATAAAATCTGAAGAGAATATAGAAGGAAGTATGGATTCTTGGAACTAACAACAATAGCAACAAACTGAGAACCACTATATGTAGTCAGCCTGTCTCCACTGACATGTGTGGGGTAATGGTGTGGACTGCAGCCTTGTGCAAATAACAATTTTCGGACTGGGTGAGAACTATACCAAAGAATAGTGATTTATATACTTCTTTTGTCTATACTTCAAGTTGCCTTGTTGTTGTTGTGGTTGTGTGCTGCCACTGCGTTGATTCCAACTCATAGTGACCTTATAGGACAGAGTAGAACTGCTCTATAGTTTCCTAGGCTGTAATCTATAGGAGAGCAGATCACCAGGTCTTTTCTCCGACAGAGCTTCAGGTGGGTTTGAACTGCCAACTTTTCGGTTAGCAGCTGAGCGCTTAATGTGGTCTGACCCAGGATCACCTGTGGGTGATTGGAATTTATTTGGTTCTGACTTCCATCAATGTGACCAATTCATCCTAACACAGAGAAGCACTTACCCTGATTCAAGTTAATGTATAACAAGAGGCTCATGCATTACAGTAACAATAGTAACAGTGATGCGCATCTTGAGCAGGACCCACAGGAATATAAGACTCACATGAAATAAATTATACGACTACTTAGAGGGACACCATAGGACAATGAGTGGTACAAGTATGTTCATTGTAGTCAATTGTAATAGGGAATATTGGACCGTCACTTTATAGGGATTTCTTTTTTTAAAATAAACGTTAGTACATCCATGTAATTGAGTATATTATATCCAATAATTATTTATATCTCTATTTATGAACTTGGAATGATGGTCATATGTTAAATAAATAAAAGAGGTTACAGAATATTAATTAACATATTGTAATATTTTCAAGAAAAATTATGTATATAGTTACAGAGAAGAAATTCTGTGGGGAGTACATAAATACGTAGTGTAATCTGGATGTTAGAATTTCATGTAATTTAAATTTAATTATTTTTAGTTTTATTGGCTTGTTGTCTGTAGTTATTTTTAATAAGATAATCATGTATTATTTGCATAGAAGAAAAGAAAAAGAGAAACAGAACCCGATCAAATTGTATCTGCTGTTATGGATTTGTTACTTTATTATTATCTGTTCCCTTCATTGTGTATCAAGGAGAAATAACACTTTCATTTTTGGAATGATGTTATTGAGGTTTAAGTTGGTTATTAGACTCTCACTGATGCTTGGGAAACATAGTAAAAGTCAGCTGGTCTGATTCTGAAAAGAGTACAACTTAAGTATTATGAGAAACATGAAATTATAAATTGTAGTCTATTTGCATCCATTTTGAGGTCTTGGCTTATTGTCTTCCTTCTGTCTGGATTTTCCTCAAGCTGCTAAATTCCCCACTTCAGTCTCCTGCATGTTCTTTTGTTTGTTTTTACACTCTTTAAGCCTCAATTTAGGTATCACTTTCTTGACTACATTAGATGACACTCATTTAGCCCTCATTAGCTGTGCTGATTCATATCTTAGTATTTAGTTTTCATTATTTCACTGAATAAATGTATTTATTGAGAGCTTTCTGTGAGGCGGGTGCTGATCTAAACCCTGGGGTACAGTGGTTCACAAGGCCAGCAGAATAGCACTACTCTTGGAGCTCCAAGTCAGGTGGGGAAGACAAAGGTTTATTAACTACAGTTGTCACAAATGGTAGAAAAGAAAATAATAGATAAGCTCTTACAAAAGTGAACACCATGAAGATTTCACCTATTCTGCATGGGGTCTCTAGGAGGATTCAGTATTAGGATATCAGTATTGGGATCCAGTGGGTAAAAAGGTTTGGACAAGATAGGAGCTTTCCAGGTTAGGAAACATGATGTGTGAAAACTCTGAAGAAGAAAGGAGCAGGGTGTGTAGAAGAAACTTGAGTATATTGGTGAGCAAAGGGAAGCAGTGTGAAGGAGACTTGAGTGATAGTGAACACACTGCTGTATTCACATGTATATTATGATTGCTAAACATCTCTCTCCCTCCCGGGGACAACACAAGACAGAAAACTTCTTAAGGTCAGAGACGATGTCAGCTTCATCAAATCACCCTTGTGGAAGCAAAAGATTAAAAAGCTGTGAATTCTTAATATATAGATTTTATTAATTAGTTAATTATTGGAGTTATGTTTAAGTAGAACACAAGATCAGAATCTTGAGATTGTCTCCTATGTTTTGGGTTGAAGAAAATGAAGGAAAAGTAGAGCAGGAAGAAAGTACCTCAGGTAAGGAAGTGGAGGGTGGAGTTGAGGATGAGATCTGGAGAGGTGGAGGGTGGCCCAAGGTGGCAGATATGCTGGCTCCAGAAGGACAGGGAGACTGAGTCTGCTCCTGGGAAACTTTATTCCGTTTGATTCCAGACTTCTCTTTGGTTGTGTTTTTCCTTTTCTGAAAATAAATTAATTTTTTTCTTTAATCATTTTGAGTATCAAATGAAGCAGAACACATTTTTATTACTGTCTAGTAGGTATACTTAGACTTCCAAATGTTTTCCTCGGGAACTTGAGAGAGTGCTGCCCACCGTCTGGACAATTGTGAGAGGTGAGCACAGAAGGCATCATTAAACAGAGGGGAAAGTTACACACATCAGTCCTCTAATGATCTCTGTCGTTTTCACACATCATGTTTCCTAACCTGGAAAGCTCCTATCTTGTCCAAACCTTTTTACCCACTGGATCCCAATACTGACTTGGAAGCAGTAAATCCAAGTTTTCGCAAACATGAGCAAAACACCTTTCCAATCTGATTCTCACGTTACCATGTCTTTGTAGTATGGATGATGGTATCATACTTACGTCATAGTAATTTATGTTACATTTGTAAAGTGTCTAGGTCATTCCCTGGCACAAAAGAGATGGTCAATAATTATTCTATTTGTAAAATCTGAATCTTGATGGGAAATTAATGAAGAACAAAGAATTTGAAAGGGGAGATCAAATGGAAGCGCCATAACAGAAATTTCTTCTGTGGGTTTGTAAGCTTGTTTTTCTTCCTCAACCTTACCTGGCCCCCAGGAGTCTCCTCTACTCTTTCAGATGTCACAGCATTACTTGTGGTGGCTGCCGGTGTCACTGAATCCGCTTCCTCTTGCCTGCTCTTTTTCATAGAAGTTGTTTCTTTTGCTTTGATTTTCTTCGCAACTGATTCAAAACAACACACAGTGAACAGAGAAGCTGGTTTAAGGCAGCTGAAGCAATTTTATAACTATTTCTTCTCAGCTTCTACTTGTCAATCTAGTTATGCTTTCATCCACCGCTACTGCTAATGCTCAGCCTGCCGTAAGGTGAACAACAGTTGCAACAGAAGCTCAGACACTATCTCATGCTTTCATCCTCTGGGCTCCTATACACCTCAGTCAAATGTTTCCCCAATCTTCTTTTCCTATCATTTCTTTTTAAACATCTATGGTTTTCTTGATGAAAACTGACGGATCATCATCTGTAAGAGATGCATTCAAAGTAAACAAACCAGTGAAAGAAAATATGATACAGATTTGTGAGGTGGCAAAGTGAAGATATCGGACTTTGAATTTTTTTAATCTTTTTTCTTTTTTAACTTGTGATTTTATAAGAAGGGGAGTTCTCTAGACCTCTGAGAGGTAGGTTTTCATATAAGTGCCTTCTCACCTCTGTTACTATGAGGATAATGATGGAGGAAATAGTTTTAAGTGAGCATGTGCATTAAGTGATTAAATGTAAATATTTTTTACAAGGAAACCAAAATATTTGCAATTTTGGTCTGTCATTTTTTTAAAGCTTTCTAATATACCGGAGGCTTCAGCCTTTTATCAGTTTCTCTGCCTTTTTTACCTGCACCCCTAATATACCCCCTTAACCCATTGCCATCGAGTCAATTCTGACTCATAGCTACCCTATAGGACAGAGTAGCACTGTCCCATAAGGTTTCCAAGGAGCAGCTGGTGAATTTGAACTGCCGACATTTTTTTTTAGGTGCAGGGCTCTTTACCAATGTGCCATCAGGGCCCCAGTATACCCCGTAAAATACATCAATCCCCGTTACAGAAAATGAAACATTCTAAGTTATCAACTTGTTGGCAGATGATGTTTCCCATTATTATAGCTACCACGTTTTAAGTTGGGAAAGAGATGCATCACCTATCACCAAGACAGGGTTATATTCCAGGTTGAGTAGGGTGTGGGGAGAGTTGGAATGAGGGAGTCTCCCCTATTACCTTTTGACTTCTCATATCTAAGAGTTTTAGCAAGGCATTTAAGTTGCGGTATATCATTGAACAATTCTATTAGAATGTCCACACACTTAGCACCTCCAAACTTTTCTTCCATTAAGTCTGCAATCTTAATTTTATCATATTCTTCTTGCGTTTTTCTAGTCAGTTGTAAATCATGGGCCAGTAAAGACTTAATTATGTTAAATTGATATTCATTGATGGCCTCTAGCCCCTTCAGTAGAAAGATTTTCTTATGTTCATTCACCATTTCTGAAGTTATGGCCGAGCCTACAAGAGAAAAAAACATGACATAGAATGTTATGCATTTATACAGAGAGTTTAAAATACTGGACGTGCCTATGCTAGCGAGTGGCCCAGGTCAAGTGTTGTCCATAGTGTGAGAGACAAAGAGGGAGTATAATAACTAGATGTGTCACTGTGAAAAGTGGGCTGAGAACTGCTACATCAGAAAATTCTAAGAAATGATTCTCTATTAATGCTGATAGTTGATTTGGGCCAGTGTATTGGACAGCTGAGTTAGTTAGGTATGTTTGATGGAAGGAGGTCTGGAAATAGACAATTATTACAGTGTTTGGAGTATGCACTGTGTAGTCTCAAAGTCCCTGGTTATTTTTCCTTTTTTTTGGTGGGCGGGGAGTGGCTGGGGCCTGGACCTGAATCTCTCTACCTGTTGGTCCCTGGCTCTTTCCACACCCACTGAAATGGCCTATGCGAAATTGGGCTGCAACCTTTCACTTCATACAAATGCACTTCTGCCACAGTACTACAGTTCCATTCTGGTACTTACATTTGTCCACTTGGCTCTTTGCTACTCAGCATTCATTAGCATCCTCTCCCCTTTTGGATTGGACCATGGAATCCTATCTACTCACTAGTGCAAAGTCACAGCATTTTTGGCCTAGATTATTCAATATTTGCTTGATTTTTCTCTTTACTGGCTTAATGTCTCTGATCAGTTCTTTTCATACAGTCAGTCATCTTTCTGTAAAGCCACGATTCTATCCTGCTTGAAGCCCTTCAATAGTTCACCATTTTCTTTAGGAAAAATTCCTTAATCTTAACATGGGCTTTAAAGACTTGAGTAATATGTCTCTTTTTCACTTCTTCTACTTTCCATTTTTTAAGCTTTTTCAGACTTTCTGCCTGGAATGCACTTCCTAGCTTTCTTCTGGAAAGATATACCTAGAGAGTGCATGGTCTGCATCAGGCCAATCAAGTTCAGTTATAATTCTGCCAAATTATATGCATACGCAAATACAGTCATGCACTGCATAAAACCTGTTCGGGCAACGTCCAGCTGCATATATGTCCATAGTCTCAAGATTATAATAGACTTACTTACAACCCATAGTTACAAACCAACCCCTGTAAAGTCTATTACAAATTTGAGGTGCATACAATGGTTTATATTAACCAATGGGCACTATTTTGCGATGCACATCAAAACATTACTATTATTATTACTGTATTATTATGTTAAGGATGTTTTAGTGTATCTGGAAGTGTTTCGTTTATGTTTCTTTAATATTTTTTATGCATAGAAAGGTACACTATATACTGAGGCAAACATTTGACTGACGTTAGATACAAACCACACTTAATGTCATGACTTATGTACAAATTCAACTTAAAGACAGACTTAGAACAGAATTCTTTCATAATCCAGAGACTGCCTGTATGTAATACAGTGTTCACACAACATCCATATCACATAACGTCCTATTTCACAGAACGTATCATGGACATTAAGTGATTCATGACTCTATAGTCAGCCTTAAAGTAGTCATATACGAACCTATGTATTTTATATTTTTACATATATTGTTCTAAACTCTGAATATAATATTGCATATGGGAATTTGTGAAAAATGACACTTTTCTCAATATTGACTTTTATCTCCCAAATTTTCCCTCAACACACTGACTAAAGAAGAATCATATGATTGTCACTGTTTAGGCTTTGGAATTCAGAAGGCCTGGCTCTTAGAACATAACAGTTCGGCTATATACTACTACAGATACACTTAAAAAATAAGTGAGTGATTTGTAAGATCATATTAAAACTCTTCTACAAGGAGAGAAGGTAGAATTAAAAAGTAAGAAAATCTTAAAAGATGTCAGAATACAGGTTAAAGTGTCAACATCCAGAAACTGTTAGTTGCAGGAGAGACCACTAAAATGAAAAGGAGAAAATATTTGTAGAAGTAGTAGAATAAACTTCTTTGAATTAAAATAACATGAATATTCTCAGATTGATCAGGCCAATAGGATGCCAACTAGGAGAGAGAAGGAAAAACCCACTTGTTGCTGTCAAGTCAGTTCTGACTCATAGCAACCCTATAGGACAGAGTAGAACTGTTCCATAGGGTTTCCAAAGAGCAGCTGGTGGATTCAAACTGCCAACCTTTGGTTAGCAGTCAAGCTCTCAACCACTGTGCTACCAGGCTTCCTGTCTTTTATTTTTATTTTATCCACTTTAGTGTGACTGTTCATATCTTTTGCTGCAGAAATATTAGTGCATTTGATTTGAGAGGAACGACCTAGACTCTTTCTGGCCATGTATGTAATACTCTATATATGGTATACACATTAAAATCTTTTCTAATGTCACTCAAATTCTGAATTCCAAAACAGATGTGACTCCAAAGGTTTCAGAAGAGATGCTGTCAATCTATATTGACAGAAAAATAATTTTGAAACTAGAATTTTATGTTAAGCCAAAATGGTATTTAAACATGAGGGCCCAAAAACTATTCTCCATATATTCAAGGCCTCAGAAGATTTGCAGCACAAAGACATCCACCAAATATTATTTTGGAAGTAGTATTCAATAAGAAAATAAACAAAGAAAGCCAAGAAATGCTGCAAGCTAAAAGGAAAATAAGAATCAGCAATTAATTCAATTTGTACCAGATTTAACTTGTCAGTGTCATAAAAATAAATAATTTCCTTACAAAACAGAAACAAAACAAGAAGTATATCAGCATGGTGGTGAGTAGCAAGGGAGAGAAGGGAATCAGAACTAGAGTTTCATACATAGTGATAAAATGTTCAAGTCCCTGGAAGATTAAAACAAAGTTCTAGTTATGTATTTGGAGCCCTGATGGCGTTCAAATCCACTAGCTGCTCCTTGGAAACCCTATGAGGTACTTCTACTGGACTGCAACAGGTTTGGATTTTTTGGAATTATGTATTTACCTAATAATAATAAATATATATTGTTTGTTCTTTCTTTATATTCCTTCTTATATTACTATACGTATGTATTATATAGTGCATTTCTCTCCTTTCTCTCTCTCTCTCACTGGTTAAGCACTCAGCTGCTAACTGAAAGGTTGAGGTCAATGGTTTGAACCCACCAGAGGCTCCATGGCAGAAAAGACCTGGCGAACGGCTCTCATAACATTACAGCTTAGGAAATCCTATGGGACAGTTCTACTCTGTCCTAGAGGTTTGCTATGAGTCAGAATCAATTCAACAGCACATGTATATATATGTATACACATATACAAACCCATTGCCGTCGAGTCAATTCCAACTCATAACGAACCTATAGGACAGAGTAGAACTGCCCCATAGAGTTTCCAAGGCTGTAATCTTTATGGAAGCAGATTGTCATATCTTTCTCTCGAGGAGCAGTTAGGGGGTGCTGACCTTTTGGTTAGTAACCGAACGTTTAACCACTGTGCCATCAGGGATCTATCTATCTATATGGATATGTATATATTAATATACATACATATATAGTAACTTATTTATATTAGAAAATTTTATATTAGAAATTGGGAGAGCTACAAGGAAAAATTGACAAAATCATGATTATATTACCAGATCTAAGTTTATCTCAATTACTAAATAAAAAAACTAAAGAAAAAATCATCAAATATTTGGAAAATTTGGTGTTACATTCCTCTCAAGCACACATCAGATCTTTATGTACCAGACTACAGAAATTCTAAAGCATTCCAAAATGTACATATAGATGTAATTTATTCCACCTTCCTCTCCACTACAAACTCTCACTGACAAAGTTTACCTATGACTTTAAGAGAGTGAGGAGGCAATCCCAAAAAGACTGAAATAATGCCTCTAACACCTGGTGTAAGTGGAGCTAAAATACGACTTAAACATACTTATAAAAATATTGATGCCATGTATTTGAATACCAGTGTTTGTGGAATTGTAAAATTTTCTGCTATGTATGTGTGTGCTTGTTTACTGATTTTGTAAAATTGAGACAACATCATACAGTAAAGCTTTATAGTCAGATTTTTTTTTTTAATTCTATTTTATAATCCTTTTCTCGTGCTATTCTCTTGTCTTTTATCCAGGCCTCTACCACAGCCACCAAGTCTTCTCCTCAGCCTCAAGCCAAGAAAGCCACAGCCCTCCTCTAAATACCAACTCATGCTAATAGAAGCTGAAATATTAATTTTAAAATCTGTTATAATCAAAATGCATTTCCATTTATTTAGGTTTCATTTGTGGTGGAATAAAAGATGTCTTATATTTACCTAGGTAGGTGAAGAATGAGAATCAAGCTACAGCTGTTTTCACTTTTCTGAATAGAGTTGATATCAGCCCTTTTCCTCCCCCAGAGATTCTGAAACTAATTCTCACCTTATAATCTTGGGGTTACCAGTTAGTTAACATATTTCTCTACAGAAATTGTCACAGAACTTACCTAACTTGAAACTTCTTCCACATTAGTTTATCTCTTGAGATGGTCTTCAGAAATACAAGAATCACTGCTCGTAAGAGTAGGAAATAAATCAGGAAAGCTTTCCAGAAACTTAATTGCAGGACTTTTGTAATCTCATGAACAGCTAAGAAAATGAAGTATTTTGAAAGACAACAAGAAAAAATAGCACTGGTTAGGGTCACATAAAAACTTGACTAGTACTGACTAATACTGTGTTATATGCCAGGAAGGGAAACATCACATTTTTATGAAACAGCTTTGAGACTCCTCCCATCCATGTTCATAGCTTTCGATTTCCTTAGACAGGAAAACTGAACTGTCTCATTCCTGTAAACATTTTATCACAGTAAAAAATTAAAATTAGATCCATCTGCTTTGAGTTCCAGTACTGACTACCATGTAAGTTAGATGGATATGAAAGTTCTAAGCTGGAACTGCTTTGAGATATGGACATTTGTAACAAAAATGTTTTAAAAGAATGACTTGGCACTAATTTTTTACAGTGATAAAATGTTTGCAGGAAGAAGGCTGCTCAGTTTTCCTGACTAAGGAAATCGAAAGCTGTGAACATTGATAGGACGAGTCTCAAAGCTGTTTCATAAAAATATGATGTCTCTCTTCCTCAGGTATAGCACAGTATCAGTCAGCACTAGTCCAGTTAAGTGACCCAAACCAGTGCTATTTTTTCTTGTTATCTTTCAAAATACTTCATTTTTTTAGCTGTTCATGAGATTACAGGTCCTGCAGTTTGGCTCAAACATGAAAGGAAAAGATTTATCAATGAGTGAATTCTCCCTCTTTTCTTGTTCACAGAGTGCCAGTGGCAGGGGGAGTTGTGGGAGGAGGTGTCTATTGCTGCCAGTACTTTTCTTCCTCCCTCCTGGATGGAGATAGGTCTGCTGTGAAGTTGTTTGTGGTTTCAGTAGTGCATGACACATTCACCTACTTATTAATAGCTGACAAACCTGGAGCATAATAGAGACAAAATATAATAATATATGAATTCTTCTAGAGTATTTATTTGGGAGGCTCTCAAAATATGCAGTGGCTGCAACTATGGACTTGAGCATACAAACTATCATGAAGGTGGCGTAAGAGTAGGGTTAGGCAATGTTTCATTCAGTTATACACGGGGTCACCATGAGTTGGAGCTGATTTGATGGCAACTATCAACAGCAACAACTTACGTGTTATGACCACCTCTGTTGGTACTCCAGCAAACAAACGTAAATTACTGACCCAAATAAAAGGAAATCAAACAGTGCTCTCAAAGGTATACTGTGGACCTGGAATTTTAATAGATGAGCCAAAGAAATGATAAACAAACAAACAAACAAAAAACATGTACTCTTCCTGACTCTTAAGCAGTGGCCAAAAATTGGTGATTTGGGTCATACAGATAAGAAGTGTTTATCAGGTTCTCAACCTCTCAACCCTTCTAGAGCCTCAGTGCTCTTCCAGAAGTTGCGAATCTTCTTATTTCTTTATTGTACTGACATGAGCCCATTATTTACTAGTGGAAAAGGAGAGAACTAAGATAGGAAAAAAGATATCTAGATAAACTGCATGACCTCCTATCATCTCAAGCACTGTTTCATTAGATATTAAAAATCTTTAGGAAAGCGTCTCCACCAGGTTGATGGCCTAACTTATCAGTCTGTAAGATGTCTGAAATCTCCTAAGGAGAAGAGCTAGAGTAAGTACAAGAGAAATTGCACAAAGAAATAGAATTCAAGCCCTTTAAAGTCCTTACTAAGCAGCCCTGGTGGTAGAACAGTTAAGTGCTGGACAGTTAACTAAAAGGTTGGTGATTCAAACCCACCTAGCAGCTCTGTGGGAAAAAGACTTGGTGATCTGCTCCTGTAAAGATTACAGCCTAGAAAATCCTATGGGGCAGTTCTACCCTGTCACATGGGGTCACTATGAGTCAAAGTCAGCTTGATGGCACCTAACAACAACAAAGTCCATACTAGGCCCAGTGATAAAGATTTGGCATAAGGTCTGTAGTCTCAGAGAAGAAAATGAATATTGAGTATACTTAAATTAAAAACACTTCTCCACCTCATTCCTAAAGTTTGGAATAACACCCATTAGTGCATGAGCCTGAACTGGCCAAGATGACTCACGCATTACTTAGTCACTTGAACAATGTTCCACCTCCGCTTGCCTTACTGGGAAAATTTATTTCCTTTTCAAAAGGAAATGGTGAGTGGTTGAGTTTTGAATATTGAACCAATCTTGTATTCCTGAGATGAAACACACCTTTTTGAGGCAGAGCCAACATGGCACCCTAGACAGGTACACCACACCATCTCTCTGTAGCAAAAACCTGAAAAACTAAGTAAAACAGATATAAACGTCAATCCTGGGAGCCTGAAATCAAATGAAGTGATAAAGAACTAGGTCAAACACAGAATGGAAGAAGAAACTGATAGAAAACAGAACGAGGAGAGATGCAGAATGGAGGTGCCCTGCCAAATAACATAGCACGGCATGGCCATCTTGAAACACAGCCAGCAACAACCCCAGAAAGGGAATACTGGAAAGCAACTTCATGGAGCTCCCAACAGGAGACAGAGCACCCAGTAACCAGAGAAACTCCTTTTCCCAGCCCTCATACTTCTGATGAGTAGAAGCAAGAACCCCTTCATCCTGATAGCCCTCACCTCTAGGGTCCACTATACTAGTTCCATCCCAGGCCTGCTCAACCCCCTTCTGCCAACATGTCTTTTTTTTCTTCCTTTCCTTCCCCCCCCAACCTTTCCCCGTTCCCACTGTCCCCCTTCATGCCCCCGCCACTAGAGTGCCACCAGCTCATGAGCTTGCTGCTATCCCAGATCCAGTCTGTCCCCACTTGCTGGCCCCCATCATGCTGTCTTTTTTCCCCCTTTCTTACTTTTCTCTCTCCCTCCCACCTAGCCCCATATGTTACCTTCCCTCCTTCCTCCCAGCCTCTGCACCTAGAATGCTGTGGGCACACCAGCCCGCCACCAACTTGGGCCTACCTCACCCCTAACCACTGGCTTCTGCCAAGCCACCATTTTTTTTCTTCCTTTTCTTTCTCCCTCCCACCTAGTCCGGTATTCCACCCCCCCCCCTTCCTGCTGGCCCCCTTCATGCCCCTGAGGCTAGAGCACCACTGGCTCACCAGCTAACCACAGTCCCAGGTCCGCGCTGCCCCACCCACTGCCTTCCACTGCATTGCCATTTTTCTTTCTCTTTCTCACCTAGCCTAGACACTACTGTCCCTCCCTTCCCCCTGGCCTCTGCCATGCCACTGCACCTAGAATGCCATGGGAAAGCACCCCGCAGCCACACTGGTTCCACCTCGCCCCAACCTTTGTGTCCTGCTGCATTGCCATTTTTTCTTTCTTTTATTTCTCCCTCCCCCACAGCCCCATAAACCACCTCCCCTCCCTTCCCACTGACCCCAAGTCTGCCCTGCCTCAACTTACCAGCCCCCAGTGTGCCATCATTTTTTATCTTTTTTCCTTTCTTACTTTTTTTCTCCCTCCCACCTAGCCATATAGGCCATCTTCTCCCATTCCTACCAGCCAATGCCACACTGCTGCAAATAAAGCACCACCAGTGCACTGGCCCACACCACCCTGGCTCCGCCACACACCACCCACTGGCCCCCACCATACTGCCATTTTTTTAATTTTTCTTTCTTCCTCCCACCCAGCCCTATACACCACATCCCCCCTTGCTGCCAGTCCGTGGGTCTCCCTACTAGTTCCAGGCACACCACACTTTTTGTCTTTTTTCTTTTCGCACTGCTTCACTAGGACCGCACTGCCCCCCCTCCCACCTCCCTCTACTTGACCAGCTGCTAAGCAGTGTGAAACAAGCCCATATCACTCCTTGTGCTATACCCTCGTCCATCTGGTGAGGGTCTGTGAATGCTCCAACACTACTGCACCAACATCCGTTGGCAGACAGTGCCCCCACAGTTCACCCTCAGCTACCATGCCAAACCAGTGTCCGGTGAAGTGGGTTTGCCCTACTTGCTTCTGCTCTGCCCACCTGGACAATGTGGTGAGAGCTATCATGTCCAAAGATGAGTAAGAATCAAAGCAGCCTGGTCCACCCACTGGACATATCAAAACAAAACAAAAAAGCAGGAAAAAAACAAATGAAATTACAATAAGTAAAGAAATAAAATAATAACTTCATGTCTAGGAGACAAAAGATAATAATAAAACATAAAAAAGCAGGAAAGATTTCTCCAGCAAGTGACCAAAATAATCAGATAACTTTCCAGTAGAAGAAAAAGCATTGGAACTACCTGATAAAGAATTCAAAAGATTAATATTTAGGGCTCTCCAAGAGATTAGGAAAGAGATCAAGAAAAACACAGACAAAATCATGGAAAAAATAGCCAAAATCATCTGAGAACATAGCAAAACTGAAGGAAAACACAGACAAAGGAATAGAAGAATTCAGGAAAATAATACAAGAACAAAACATCAAAATAAATAAAAAATTAGAAGTAACACAAAAATAGTAAATAAAATTCAAAAGATAAGCAACAAAATTTCAGAAATGTACAACTCAATAGAAGGATTTAGAAGCAAATTTGGAATAATGGAAGATGGCATCACTGAGATTGAAGAAAAATCCATGGATGTCACTTTGTTTGAGGAAAAATCAGAGAAAATAATGAAAAATAAAGAAAACCTAAGAATTATGTGGCACAGAATCAAGAGCAAAAATCTGTGTGCGATCATAGTTTCAGAACAGGGAGAGAAAATGGAAAACACAGAGAAATCTGTTGATGATTTGTTGGCAGAAAACTTCCATATACCATGAAAGATGAAAAGCTGACCATCCAAGATGCTCAGTGAACCCCATATAGGATATACCTCAAATAAAGTCACAAGACATATCAATCACACTTGCCAAAACCAAAGGCAAAGGAAGAATCCTGAGAGCATCTTGAGAAAAATGAAAAGTCGCATACAAAGGGGAAACAATAAGACTAAGCTCTGATTACTTGGCAGAAACTGTGCAGGCAAGAAGGTAATTGATGACATATGTAAAACCTTGAAAACTTGAAAGAAAAAACTGCCAATCAAGAATAACATATCCTGCAAAACTCTCTCAAGTACAATGATGAAATTAAGACATTTCTAGACAAACAGAAATTGAGGGAATTCTTAAAAACAAACTAAACTTACAAGAAATATTAAAGGGAGTCCTTCGATTAGAGAACCAACATCAGACAACAACCTGAGTCTACAACACAGACAGAG